GTGTGTTCATCACATGTGATCGACCGTTCGTTACATGTGCGACCATATGTGTACCGTACTGCATGCTCATGTCATGTTGTGCTTTTTCCTGTGTACACAGCCACTGTGTAGAGCGAGGGTGGTCCCGACCGGCGTCCGGGGAATTTAGATTAGGAACTTACAAAGTCTGGGGAATTTACTAAGTCCGGGGAATTTAGATGAGGAACTTACGAAGTCCGGGGAATTTACTAAGTCCGGGGAATTTAGATTAGGAACTTACGAAGTCCGGGGAATTTACTAAGTCCGGGGAATTTACTAAGTCCGGGGAATTTACTAAGTCCGTGGAATTTGAGGTTGTGAATTTAAGTCTGAGGAATCTGAGTCTGGGAACCTAGATTGTAGTTTGTAAATTTGGGAATTCGAGTTTAGGAATTTTATTTTGGGATATTTGAAGCATCCTCCATTAGAGAAACCTATCTTTGGGGAATTGTCTTTTGTATTGGAACCTTATTGGGGTAACCTTGTCATTTTTTTTTTGTGATCTGGAGATAAGTTAACAAATATTACAGTGAAATTAAAACTGAATACTAGTGTGATTGACGATTGATTATTTCTGGTCTGTTGTCTGTTTCCCTTGGAGCATCCGGTCATAAAACACTGGCGGACTCACCACAATGAAGTGCAAAACTGCACTACCCTGTCCTGACCCGTGACAGTACAAAGAAGGAAGGGGACCAAAAATCACCCTAATAAATTTATGTTGCGTTAAGAACTCCCAAAATAATGTTTTATTTTGGCCGGCCACCTCCCCCCCCTTATTCCCAACGCCAAGCAGAGACTGCCAGACACCCGTGCATGTATGTGTGCTTTAACTGATTGATCTCAATTTTTGGGGTTTATTCTCAGAAGGCTTTACCAGTGAAGAGGAGAGCAGCGACAGTGGGGACAGCAGTGACAGCAGTGAAGACTCCTGCGATGAATCTGTCGAAAGCGGTAAGATTTGGTCTGTCTGAAGTTGTAGCCAAGTTAAGCTATGATACGCCACACCAGCCATTCTCTCAAGACATTATAGCATATTGATGATGAACCCTATAGTAGTAGGCCAATAACGCAACTTATTTTTAGCGTCCCAAACAACCAAGAACTTGTGTGTGTTGTCCTCGGTGTTATAGGCTGCACTCACATGGACAAGAAGTCCTCAGTCAGATAGTTTGGAAAGTATGCCCTCCATTTGCAGTGTCTACATTCGTGTGTGGGTGTGTGTGTTGGCGAATTTATTTCTGCATTCAATTGGGGACCCTGGTCAATAGGGGACAATAAGGTCCCCGATTGACAAAGGGTCCCTGATTGACAACTGTGTACAAAATATATTGGTGGTCTTCTAAAAAAGTTAAAGTACAAACAAAAGAGGAACAATGGCGGTTCCCCAGTTGCAGGCAAATACACACTTGTGTGTGTATATATACAGGTAGATGTATGCATGTCGTGCAATTTTAATGATCTGCAGGCTCTGCAGCCATGCTTTTCATTATTCCCCTTCCTAAAGAAAAAAATGCAATCATTCATTTAGTATTCTCAAGGCCCTCTGGTCGGATAAAAATAAATAGCATAATGCTTATTCTAAGCAACTGAGAAAATTGTACATATCATGACCACACAGAGTATTCTCAAGGCTCTCCAGCCTAATTCAAAGGTCTACTTTATTCTGAGTATTCTCAAGCCTCTCCAGCCTAATTCAAAGGTCTGCTTTATTCTAAGTATTCTCATGGCTCTCCAGCCTGCTTTTCGGTAAATATCAACGCTTTCTCATTCCAAGTATTCTCAAGGCTCTTCAGCCTACCTAAATCAAACAGAATCCCAGCTCCACAGCTCTGAAGCAAGCATTTTGCAATTACTGAATCCAAATTAATTTTTTTGTACGGGGAGGGGTTTGTCATGAAAATCATTTATTGAACAAATGACATACGCAGTGCCATCATGCAGAAATTAGGGAGATTTTCAGTGAAAACATGCCGACCACTTCGCCCACACAGAAAAGAATTGTGTGATGCCAGGAATGTTCGAAAACCAAGTACTTGCAGTATAAAAGCACCATTTTCTGAAGTAATGAGCAGAGGCCAAACAGCTGCAGAAACCCATTTAGGAATGATCAACACGTCCATTGCTTTGCAAAATATGATGTGGACATGTACACATACATCTATCTCACGTCCTAGTGGTTGAAGTTTTTGTAGATGATCATGTTATTTTGATGAAGTCCTTCTGTAGAACAGTCTTGGTACGAATTGCATTTCCATCGACAACACCTATATGTCGAAAGACTTCCTTCGTGTATGTGCTGGTAAACATTCTTTGGTGTCATCTAAAAAGAAAGGAAAATATTAATTCATTGTGTGTCAGTTACATGTTGATGCATGGGAAAAAGGTGCAAGAAGTTTCAACACTTTTGATATCGCTTGGCTATGAGTAGGAACTTGTTCTTGGCCCTCCATGGGTACAGTGGGGAACAGATACACAGATGTTGATCAATGAGTGATTTGCATTAGTATATGCATGGGTCCCCTCCTATCTTTGCTTCATGTCCCCATTAATCAGAACTGGCAATCTGTTTGTATGTCAGTGCAACAGTAGGCCTTTTCACCATTACCTGTGAATTACCTTGCTTCGTTGTAGGCCTACAGCAGCTTCCTTCATCACGGGTGGCTGTGCATCTGATCTACATGTAACTGCAGGTACATTGAATTCCTAACATGGAGATCTCTGGCTTTCAATTCAGCAGCAGCATGAAGGATGCAAATAATGAAATTGAAATATTCAGCTTATATCAACAAGTAAATCATAAAAAACCATGAACCAGTAATAATATGGTTTTGTTGGGGGGAATAACAATGAAATATGCACTTGGAGTGTTTTGACAAGACGAAGGAAAAATCTGCCTTCATGTTTTGGGGCATACATTTTTCTGAAGTGTATCATATAAAAACCCGCCAACTCCTTTCTGTTCTGAAGATTTGCAGAGACTTCAAATGACATGGGGACCAATTGAAAACTTTGGGATCTTTTAAAGGCTGATAACTTTTGCACTATTCTTTCTAAAACCAGTTTGATCAATTTTTGCAGTTGTCTTTCAATAAATGTTAGGTGTTACATGTGTACATACAGTACAAGTAAATCTCACTTCCTGTCGGTTGCAGTCTTGCTACGAATAGTTTGATGAAGCTGTTCTCATTCTTCTCAGGACCAGTCCTGCTTCGACTGCTCTTATCCATCAATGATACCAAGGCCACTGTGTGAAGACTGCCCTCATGTGCTAATAAACATCTGTATCATTGCCAAGTTCAAACGTGTTGATTACAGGTGCAGCAGTTAATGTGTTGATGCATGAGAAAACTTGTGTCAGAACTTGAACTCAAATACAGTGTACATGTGCACATGTATTCACTGGCATAGCAACGTTGCGTTCTCACCAAATTTGGATACGTGGATGTTAATGAGGTAACCATTTATGATGGTAGTAAATGGTTGCCCCCCCCCCGAACACACACACACCCACACCCAAATATACCAGGCAAGATATGGGACGGAGGGGTACCCCCCTTACATGTACCTGTCCAATCCCTCTACACAGTCTAGACTATTGTTACATAACACATCCCCCCAGAAGTCTGTAAAGAATTCTTGAGATTCCGATCAAACAATGACCAACACAAAGGTGGGGGGTTCTCTCCGTCCCATATTTTGTTTCAAATGCACCCAAACTTGCTTCATGACTGCATTAATCAGAACTTGCAATCTGTTTATAAGTCAACGCAACAGTAGGCCTTTTCAGAATTACCTGTCAATCTCCTTGCTTGGTTGTACTGCAGCTCCCTTTAGCGTGGATAGCCTTGCATCTGATTTACATGTAACTGCAGTGACGTTGAATTGCAAACATGTGGCCTTCATTTCAGCAGCAGCATCATGGGTGCCTACACACAAGAAACAAATAAAGAAATTGAAAAATTCAGCTGATATCAACACGTGAATAATCAAACATCGTGAACCTGTTATAATATGGGTTTGTCTTTTGAGGGAACAATGAAATATGCACATTAAGTGTTGTGAAAAAAATGAAGGAAAAACTGCCTGTATGTTATTTTGGGCATTTTTTTAAGTGTATCATGCAATAACTGCCAACTTTTATTCTGTTCAGAAGATTTCCATACATTTCTAATGACATGGGGACCAACTGAAAATATCGGGATCTTTAAGAATGCTGGAAACTTTTCAGTATTCTTGGGAAACCAGTTCGAACAATTTTTGCAGTTGTCTTTCAATTAATAAGTGGTGGTTACATGTACACCTTCAAGTACATCTCACTTCCTGTAGGTTGCAGTCTTGCGATGAATAGATTGATGAAGCTGTTCTTATCCTCAGGATCAGTCCTGCTTCAACTACACTCAATCATACCGCAGGCATCCAAAATGTGTGAAGACCGCCCTCATGTCTGTGCTGATGAACATTTGTATCATCGCAAAAGGAAACATTTATCACAAGTGCAGCAGTTCATGGAAAACTTGTTAGAACTTGAACACAAATACAGCGTACATGTGCGCATGTATTCATTGGCGTAGCAACCTTGCGTTCTCACTAAATGGGGGGTTCGTGGGGACCTGAATGTTAAAGTGGTGGACCATGTATACATTGTAAATACAAACTTTAATTCATGACTGCATAAATCAGAACTGGCAATGTGTCTGTATGTCAATGCAACAGTAGGCCTTTTCACCATCACCTGTTAATTTCCTTGCTTTGTTCTACAGCAGCTTCCTTTATCATTGGTACCCGTGCCTCTGACATCTACATGTAACTGTAGTTACGTTGAATTCCAATACTCGAAACTAACATGGAGAACAGCTTTCACTCCAGCAGTAGTACAAAGGACACCTACATGTACATGTATACACAAGAAGCAAAATAAGGAAATTCAACTATTCCATGTAATCCGCTTACGCTACATTAATTGGCATGTATAAATAACCGTAGGTCTATATTCGATCGGGAATTTTATACATTTTCGGATATTTACACAAGTATCGTAAACCAATAATGACATGGTTTGTTCTTGGGGCATAGTTATGAAATACGGTTTGCACTGTGAGGGACATCAGTCAGTTTGATGTCAACGTTCAGTGCAATTGTAAAAGTTGCACATGTACAGTACGTACATGTATGTGTACATGTATTGCATATAAGCTCCATCCTGATTTGACATGCCTTTGAATATAATCCATCATTCTAAAACCATTGAATAATGTACACAGGAGGGAGTTGATGAATATGTGCAAGTTGATCACTGGATTGTGCTGAACATGTAGGACTTGCATAATAATCACTATAAATCGCCTTTTTCATCATTCGTCATTTGGACATAAAAATGAGCATATCAAAATGTTAAAAAAGGCCATTTGTAGAGTTCAAGTTTCTCGAGATATGTCATGTATGTCAGTGCAAATTCAGGGCTAATTTGAGTGAGCTCTCTTCCCCTTACATCACTGTCCAGACGTAGCACTGAAAGTGCAGACAGAAACTTGCAATTGAGAATGTTTTGTAATACGTATACTACTTTTGCCTACCAGACCCAGTTCCAGCACTTTATTCAGCTTCCGAACCCGGCTGCCTATTGCACTATGTGTAGCTGTTGGACCCGGTGCACCCTTAATTGCTGACGATCATTGTGATCATAAATATTAGGTGTCAACTCCTGCAATTTCTTTTGCCTGGTGCATAAATATTTTTTCAGTTCACCTTTTATGGGATTACTTTGGAATCCTCTGATCAAGCAAAATCCATTAAGAACTCAATTGATGTAATTTCAGGTCCGGGAAGTCCCAAGAGGTCCTGAGAAAACACATGAGCCCGTCAAAAATATCGTCCCGATCAAATCTATGTGTTTACGCGAGACCGCGCAAAGGTCGATACATGCACCGTGGAGGAGTAAAATAAGCACGGATGATTTATGTTGAGAGTCAAAATTGGTTGAGGCCTGAAACATGAAATGTGAGAGTTCAGTCCCCTCGATATGTTTTGCATGATTTTTTCACAACTTTCTAGCCAAATTATCTAGGTCTTCATGCAATAAGACTGTGCGACGACGCTCACATCGACCATAGAACTCTCTGTATCGACTGATCGCGCACAGGCCAGCTGATCGCGCAAAGTACGGACATGCGAAAACGCTTAGGCAAAACTGCACTTCAATGTATGTACAAAATCAATGGGTTTCAAAATGACGGTGTATAAAGTCAATGAGAGAAATTAAATCTTCAAAATCAAATGATAAATTTAATAATGTCAAACGGACGTCATTCCTATATGGCCACATATGCTGTATGGTCTTTGCTTGGACCAAGTTTCATTTTGTGGAGTGGCCAAAGAGCATGCCATTCTGGCAGTTGAAAAACGTGTACAAAACATGTGGAATAATTAATTAAATATTCAAAATTCTATAATCAATCAGGTGATGACGTCATGACGACGTCATGATTCGGCATACATCCTCGTGTGGTGGTCTAACAATGTGCCGGGTTTGAAGTAAATCAGCCCAAAGTAAGGACCAAATTAAACTGGTGTGTAGAACGACCCTGTGTTATGTCAATAGGAAAAATTTGAAAAAGAAGAAAAATGAGAGCTTCTATGATTGTTTGCAACAGAACAAAGGGCTTTTTCGCTTTTCATTGAAAAAGGTCATCGTCGTGATTGCATATCTGCAAAGTTTCATACCACTGGGACATATACTTTTGGAGATGATAAGGCTTTAAAGAGTGCACCTTTAAATGTCACGTGACTTGTCTCCTGATGACGTCATCATCAGGCAGAGTCAATATACCTCTAAAGCACTGCCTTTTCAAGAAATCTGCAAGTTTTGAAGCCGATCGGGCATGTACTTCAGGAGATATAGGGCCTTGAAGTGTGCACCTTTAATGTTACGTGACTTGTCTCCTGATGACGTCATTATCACATAACGTCAAAATTCCTCTAAAGCATCCCCTTTTCATGATATTTGCAACATTTGAACCAAATTAGATATACACTTTTGGAGATATTCTACGTTAAATGGTGCACTTTTAATGTCACGTGACTCTTTTGCTGATGGCATTGCCATCACAGGAGGTCAATTTCCGTTTTTAAACCTTCCCTTCCTAACTACCTGCAAGGTTTCAACCCAATGATATGTACACATCCACGTCAGCCTCAGGTAAAGAGATCCCCACTCCCCTCACAAGAATCAGAGTGGCTGAGATACCAGAGACAGCAACACAAGAATCGATGAATTCTGAAGATGACTCTTCAGGCCATTCATTATCTAATGTTATTAGTAGTAATAGTATTGGACAATTATCTACCACGGGAATACACGCCAAGTTTACTCATATCAAAAACTGGAGAGGCCTGAAAGTTGCACATTTAAATCCAGAGCCTTTTTCCAAAAATTGAGCATATGCGTTTATTACTGGCACAAAATCCTCTTCATATACTTAGTCTTAGTGAAACATAGCTCCGTAGTGGAATTGATGATTCTGAAATTAACATTACTGGCTACATATTAGTTCGTAATGATCGTAAAGGTACTGACAGACATGGTGGAGTGGCATGCCATGCCACAGTGTGATATTTGTAACAGCGTTTCGTATCGGCTCATGTCAGAGGTTCTTAAAATGGTTGAGTCGTGTTGGATTGAGATCAAGCAGAAAAATCGGAACCCTTTTATACTTGGTGTTATTTATCTTCCAAACAAAAGAGGTGAGCATTTTGTTAGTCTTAAGAATGAATTAAATGGTATTAACCTTGGCAGTCGAGAATTGATTATACTTCGCGATTTCAATCTTAATATGTTTGAAACAGGGGAACGCTCAAAGATTGATAATCTTTGTTGCGAGTTCCAAATTAATCAATTCGTTCACAGTCCCACAAAAGTGACCCCTACTTCAAGCACATGCATCGATCTTGTCGTAGCGTCTCAACCAGGTAATGTTATTGATATAAATGTTATCCCTCTCGGCCTGAGCGATCATTCTATGGTACTTTTAAATAGGAAAACTAATTCACATATTAAGGTTCCTCCCAAGATACGGAATTTTAAGCATTTCGATGGAAATACATTTCTGAGTGAGTTGTACAATGTATGGGAAACAAACAAGATTATATTAACGAGGCTTGGGACTTATGGGAGGAGATGTTCAATCAAACTTGTGATGGCATAATCCGTATCATGAAATCTGTCAAAAAAAAGCAACCATGTGGCCCCTTGGGTGACAAAGGAAATGCTTTATTTAGGACGTAAACGTAATGCAATGAGAGCTAAAGCTCAAAAATCTTCCAATATAAAAAACTGGCAAATGGCTAGACAGCTGCGAAATAAAACCAATAACTTGATTAACAGTGTCCTCACTGTTTTAATTCTAAACATGAATATGCATATTGTGTAGTTGATCTACATTGTATCTGGGTTATTTGCATGTTTGTATGTCAAGTAATTGTTACTTGGTGACCTTTGTGCTTCCTGCGCACAGGGACTGGTTGTACTAGGTAGACTTCCACCAGGAAAATAAGTGCAAATGTTATTTTAGATAGCTGACAGAATATGTCAAAATTATTGTCATGTACAATAATTACCCCTTGTATTATGTGATATTTTGGTGACGTGTTAATTGAAGCTCACGTTACTTGTACTATAATTTACTTGATAAGTAACTCTTTGCATATGAATAGGAACAAAACAGTATAAGAGACGGTCCAAGACTTTGTCTAGGTTTGCCGTGGAGTTCGAGTTTTAGAGGGACGCGGAGAGCATGGGTATATTTTGATGTCAGTAGCTATAGCACCCATTTCCACGTCTGTGTAGCCATAATCCATGGCGATTGTGTAGTACAGTCTACACGGAACCCCCTAGTGAGTACATGTTCTTCTTGATTTGGTTTTGATATTGATGTGTTATGTTTAAGGACATTGCCGTTCACTTTCAAGTAACCTATGTGAGCAACGACACACGTGTGCTTTTGTCTGTGAAGGTACTGTACGTGTAAAGTGTATGTATGTAGATACAGGTTGATCACAGGCATTGCGGGTTTTTTGTCACTCCGGGATCTATATTGTAAGGATGCCTGTGACAGTTGCTGGTCACCAATAAATCAAGTCTACAATTATCCTGCCGAGTCTGTCTTAGTCTTTGTGCGTGTATCGTGCCGGTGCTCGTTCCGTTTCACAATGGGACCGGGCCTCCTTGTGGTGTCCCACTACATATAAATACCTCGGCGTCATATTGGACGAAAATATGTCGTGGTCTAATCACGTAGACTTCATCGCTAAGAAAATCTCCCCCAAATTGGGATTCTGCCAAACCCAATATCCTTGCCTCCACCTTTAAAATCTTACGTACTGCTGTGGTTCTGCCGTTATTTGATTATTGTAGCGTTGTGTGGTCTGGTTGTGGATGCACAAAAACTGCCAAACTGGTAAAGTTATATACAATCGCCTTGCCAGATTGATTCTAGATGCTAATCCCAGATCACACATTGCAGAACTGTAAGAAGCTCTGTCGTGGTTGACACTTCCCCAACGCTTGCATAATCATAGAATGTGTGAGGTATACAAGTGTGTTAAAGTATCTTCCAGTATCTAGGGGTATTGGGATGGAACCAACTAACAACTTCTCAAAGACAGGCCGATCCACTTTCTTTTTTTAAATCACCTTTAACTTGACACCGAATATATGTGTTTTATTCATGTTCATTTTCAGTATTTTTTATTGTTTTCCCATCAAATTTATTATTAGCTGTTTTACTTTAATATTATATCATACAGTTGTAATTGGGATTCCTCTTGTTTCTAAGGGGCACCTGTATATAGCTTATTTATATCATTTATTGAATCGTTTCTTTTCTTTT